TCTGGCAGAAGCTCGTACGTCTACTTCGCTTTTTGGACAACTTGCGCTCACACAGATGTCAGAACTGATGGTGGCAAGAAGATATTTTGTAAAGACGCAAGCCAGGAGGATATGCCCACGCTTCCGTCGCTCAATCACGCTCACGACCCCTTGGCACCACTCCTTCCCAGCTCCAAAAGACACCAGCCCAGATTCTGCCAGATGTGAAAGCTGTCGAGATGCATGCCAGTTCGCCATTGCAGAGCATCTCGAACAAGCATTCCATTGACGTTGGTGTGGACATCGACAACATATTCCGGATGTACTCGACAACCCTGAGCGCAGGCTTTACGAAGTGTAGAAAACACATGCAGAGATAATGTCCCAGAGCGATGCGCAGACGTAGGTGCTCGTTTTGTTCATGGACGTGTCCACATCGTACTCACTCTGTTTCGCAGCGCCGAGTGCGTCGCAAGTCAAGTCCACCCGACGAGCCGAACAAGCAGCCGCGCTCCGAGGCTTTCAGGCCACGCGGGCCTTTTGCGCTCAGCTGCGAAGAAACACGGCGAGCGGGCGATGGCAATTTTACAATGCAAACACATCGCTGCTGGTATCGGCGTTCCCCTTCCCGAGCCCCAGGCGTCATCCGTCGTAGAATCTGACGATACAGAGCGCAAGCACGGCCGCAAGTCTGCACGGGTCTGTGGCGCCTGGTGCGGCACCGTCTTCACTCTGACGAACATCGTGGCCGAGCTGGCAGGTGCGACAGCGACGGCATTAGCACTCGCTCTTCTGCTCAAAGTCCACGCTTTCCCTACTCTTCGAAGCCACCATCAGGACGTCTTCGTCCTTCCTAATTGTCGCTAAGATCGAACTAGTGACAAGAACCTACCTCCGATACCTCAACACCTTCTCTCCCTTTCCCGCGACAAGACATCTCTACCAGCTAGCACAGATCCCCCTGTTTCGTACTTGAGCCACAACGGCACCGAATTATCTCGCGCACTCGACGACTCTGCCGGGGGAAACACGAGGACAGTACCGAGGCACTGACCGGCGTGGCGCAAGCACAATGGGCACGGCGATTTGAATGAGGTGGAGATGCTCCGAGTCCGGCAGAGGGAAGGTGCTGGGAGAAGCGGGGTCCTTGATCTAGGTGCGCTCCGGTCTTGCCGCTCTCTCTCATCGCTGTAAGCTAAGCAACTTTCTAGAGTCGTTTTCACTATCGAGCCCGATATCGGGACTCCCGGGGTCGACCCCGATCTCGATGTTGTGACATCTAAACTCGGCCTTATTCAGTACTGGTGTACTCGTTTCCTGCCAAAGGTGCAAAACATCTGCGTGCGGCGGAGGGCACGCGTATATATTTGCACCTTCATACGAGATGTCAGAAGATGATGCGTGTTGACAGCCGACGACGACTGCTGCTTCCTTGCGGACTTTATTAAAGGCTCTGATGATGGACAAGGAATGCCGTGCGTGGAACGGTGCTTCCGTGAAACAGGCGTAGAAGCGTCACGCAGCAAGGTCGTGTACTTGTAAACCTTGTATCCATGAGGCATGTGGCTGTGCGCTGCCGCTGGTGCGTCGTCCACCGTTCAGTGCTCAGCCTTGTACACCTCATTCGCCCTCACGTCCTCGCATCCTGCAGAATTCTAAACATCTACCTCGTCGTCTCGGATGATGTCGCGCGCCACTGGAGCCGATCTACCACCTGAAGTACTGTCATGTATTCTCAAGCATGTCCCGCCATATTATCTCACTTGTGACTTGGACGAACGTCGCAAGTTGAAGCGCGAGCTCGCTGGGCCTGCCCTCGTGTGCAAACACTGGTCCAAAGCTATCAGACCTACACTCTTCCAACACATCGAGTTGCGCGACGCCGAAGACGTACGATTCCTCAAGAACATCGTCAGTAGCCCCGGATTTACGGCGTCGTGTCTGTCCAAGTCCATCAGGCGGATATCCATCCGACAAGAAGCTATGGGAGCAAAGCCCTGGCTTCACCATGTCCATGGGCTTTCATCCCGACTCCAGAAGACGAGATTCAGCTGTACCGTCGTAAACCGCGCAGGCGATCCGGCAACAACGTCCGGCTGTTGGGCGCCATTCGAGTCAATACCCACTGTCACTCCATCCTACGTCCGACTTTCCGAACTCACTCTTTGCGATGTTGTATTCACGAACAAGACCGAGCTCATACGGCTCGTCCACAATTTCCCCACGCTCTCCGATTGCTATTTCGAGCGACTCACCTTCCTTGACCCGTCGCCAGCTGTCCGCCCACGCAGACCACGCAGGCGTTCTCCACCGGCCTATCGCTCCTTCCGATGTGGGATAGAAGATTGTAAAGATATGGTGACTCCCACTCAAGCGGCACTTGCTGCAGCCATCGTAGACCCTGCCCGCCGTATGGGCCTTGATCGCCGCATATGGGACACGGCCCTCCAGGGACTGCTTGCGTTGGTACCGAGGGTACCCGGATGGGCAGACGTGTCTCTGGATGGCGATATGCCTGGTAGCTATTCTAATTCATGCAAATAGTGCAAAGCTCACCGGCGATTCCTCGCCAGGTAGTAGGGTGGTAATCGAATGCTCTTCACTCAGTTCAGGTCAATCTGTGCGCAACCACATCTACGCTGCAGTTAGAGTTCGCCAACCAAATGCGGGCCAGGATGCGGGGACACCACTTGCGCATGTCGAGAGCATCGATCTCAAACTCGGACTTGGCGAGGACGAAGTTGCGGACACCCTTGCTTGGGGTGGCTTGCGAGCCGTTGTCGATTCCCCACACATGCGCTGTCTTTGTATCAGCCATTATGGGCCGGGAAGCAAGCACTTCGAGGTCGCGAAGAGGATCTTGTGCTGTACACTACGCCGCTCGCAGCTGACCTGGGCTCTCGAATCAGGCAAATTGCAATTCAGGAATTGCCTTTATATAGAAAAACCTGTTACGAGAGCAGACATCATGTCGGTACCGACGGAGCACACCATCGACGGCACCACGATCACTCTCGACATCGCCGAACAAGCCGAGTGGCTGCTGCGCCCAACCCGCTCTCTCTCGGAAGAAGACACGGATAAAACAAGACAGCATTACTTACGAGAGCTCGTAAGGATCCGCACGAGCGGAGTATCCACGGACGCAGCCTCAGTGACCCCATCATCCATCGCAGATGGCGCTCAAGACACGGCGGCCGAGCAGACATGGGGAGCGGCGGAGGGTGATGAGCCAGGAGAAGAATAGGACGAGGAAACGGATCGGCGTCGGTGACGAAGAGAACATATAGGAGAGGAGGCGTAGTACAAGCATGGGCATCAAGCGCGGGTCGGGCGTGTCGTCGACGGATCGTTGCGACAGCGCGGGCAAGTCTGTATGTTTCATAGATTACTCATATTACTCATATCTTTAACAGATGGCCTGAAAGTAAGTAAATGGTTCCTTACTGTTTGTTATCCCCTTACATGCCCTGTTCCCAACCTTGCCCTTTATATACCCAGCGCTGCATGCCCCTGATCGATCCTGTTACTTCCGCTTACCCCACCGTTTCATCGCCTGCGCCCAAGCCGCCGCAGGCGGCAAGAAACACCAGCTTTATCTACGGTAGATGAAAAGACTCACAAGAATGCTACCTGAGTGAGCATATGCCAACCGCGAAAGATGCCAACCTCGCCGCCACGAGAACCACTACCGCGAGAGTATTTATCGCGTAGCCGTCTCTTGTTTCATTTGCCCAGATGATACGTGTAATTTCAAAGATCTGCTGTTGCTTATTATTTCGCTCTGCTGGGACCCGTGGGGCAGCCGTGCCACAAAGTCAGCGCTCATGGAATGATGCGCCATACGTGTGATGATCCCCGCTCTCGAAGCTGGCTTTCGCACACTCACATTCACTCCATCGGCATGTTCAGCACTCGCCATGACTACTTAACTATCCGTCTATGCTCGCAGAATCTGCCCAGTACGCTCACATGCTCCGAGCTGTTCGCCCTCGCAGATGAACTGACTTGCAGCCTGCTGCCTAATTCTTGGCCTGTACTCGTCCCTCCCCCCATGTCAACACCACTGCTGTAGTCGCTACGGCTCGTGCTCCATCCCTTAATGTTCTTCATCGCTCTCTCCACCAACGTCAAGCCTCAGCGTAATATGTCTGGGCGTGTGTCGGGGCCGTGATCAAAGTTCTGTGCTACCATCAGCAGGTACGCGAGCTCGTCATTAACCATGACGCACGCAAGGAGTCGGACGTTAAGACTATAGATGCTAGACTCTGCTGTTCTTCCAGATCCTGAGAAGGCGAGCTGAGTTGCACAACCACTGAATAGAAGCCAGCGAAGCGGTCGGATCGCGAGAGGTTCGATGAGGTGGGGGCAGTAGACGGCGAACGGCAGACTTTGGAAGACGCGAATTCGTGAGGGTATATTACTATGGTGTGTCCTTGTTGTGCCGGTCCTTCGCCGCAAGCTGAATAACGCCCTAGAGTCATCGTCGATACCAGTAGCGGGGCCCCTGCGGCAGACGTTGGGCTCGGCTTTTCTCTCTCCCTGTCCTCGGCGTGCGGGGCGGTCTGGGTGGTTGACCGGGGCGGTGCGGCCTTCGGTCCAGCCAGAAAGGTCTACGCGGCTGAATATACCGAGTATTCGAGAAGACACGGCCGCGGCAGTGGACGACATATCTGGGAAGGTACAAGATTGCGGACGGCAGCGGAGGTGTTGCGCGCAATGGTAAGTGGTCGCTCTATCCCATACAAATTGTTCGCTGGCCCCCTCTAAGTATGTCTTCATCAGTCGTCCGAAGCTCGACATAAAGTCTGCGCGCTTTGCCATTGTGAGTGTATCTATGATCATTCTACTCACAGGCTCGCTCATGAGTCACAGGGAGATAGGATTACTACGACGAGGACCGCACGGGACACCGATATCAAAACTTCACAGACCCACTGGCCCTCCTAAGTGGCACAACACGGAATTATCTACTCGTCTCGACGACCTGGGGATCCTCGACAGAGGCGAGACCTCGGAAATCGACGGCTGGATGTCAGGCTGCTACACCACCGGTTCGATATTGCGTACATCACGCCAGAGAAAGAACGACTCCTGGCGCCAGACGAGCCCAGACGCATCGACGAGCCAGATAATCTTCCGCCCACGCGTCGCAACGCTACCGGCCCCCAGAATCTGTGCGCGGCAGCCACTTTCACCAGACTGTTCGAGACGCGAGACGATATTTTACCTCGACAGCCGTCACCGGATGGAGTTCGACTCTCGTCATCGTGCCTCGTCCATCACCCAGCCCACATGCCGACCGCGTCGCAGACGGACCGTGACGATGCCCCGCGAATGTGGCGAAGACGACCAGCAAGATGTCTGTTGTACGCTCTCCCCACGCCAATTGACCAACATTGCAAAATTCACGGGGTCAAGGTTCCCTGCGTCAGCATGGCTGAGTTGAGGTACAGAACTATAGGCTCAGGGCTCTCAGCAGCAGCCATTTTCGAGGACGATGTCGCGGAACTTGAACCCGTGCGCCCCAACCTGCACAAGCCGCTGTTACCTCGTTGACTATGCATCTCGTGCAACTCCAAGACATCGCTCCAATTATTCACTTCTATATTATTCACGGCAAGTGGAGTAGATTTGTCGGAGCAAAGAGCAGCGGATTGTGATACCCTAGCTTTGTGGCCTTTCGACCCGAGCAGGAAAGAGCAACGAGCGAGGTGCGGACAGGCGGAGGACGGCCTAGACGGTGGGTGACCTGCCAGTATCAACTGCTCCTGTGTGTCTGACATCCGCGGGACAGAATTGCCCACCAGGCACCGTTTGAGCCTGTCTTGTTGGCTGGACGCGCAGGCAGAGGAGTTCGAGCCTGAGCATATTTTCTGCAATGAATTATAGGCCATGTGGGTGAGTGTATGCATAGCGGATTTCGGAC